TCGAATTAAATTAGTAATTTTACATAGATACTGGGTTTTGTTCATCGGCGGTCAAATATAAATTGCGTTTGAATAAAAAGCTTCTCAATAATATTTCGTCAAATTACGTATCGAACCTAGCAGGAATTTTAAAATCTGCTTTTCCACATAAAATTATCGTTGAACGAAATTGAATAAATATGTAAATATATGTATGTAGTTTACAAGGCCAGCATGTATACTTCAGGCCTACCAAGCGCTTTTCGTCATCTTTTATTATGCGTTCTGCCTAGGAATGTAATTCCCTGCCTGCGACTGTGTTTCCGAGCACATACAACCCAAGTATCTTTAAGGTGTGATTGAACAGGCCTCTTCTGGGAGAGCTCGTTCCATCGTAGTATCTTTGCACTAAACCTAAGTAGCGGTTTATATCAAGTCCATTTACTTAAAACTTTCTAAAAGGTCGCATAGGCACGAAACTCGTGTAATTTAAGGTCATGCAGCTGTGTCTTCAAAACATTAAGTTTATTTTTAGACGTCACAGACGTCCACTCCGCTTTTATTCCCCAATCAATAGATTCTTAATTTATAATTATAACTTGTTTGACGTCATGTCGTCGCTACATTTACACAGAACTAAAAATAGTATTTCGAGAGTTATATACGTTTCTCAGTCATTAATTTATATTTTACACTGCAAGTGCTTCGCCTTGCTTTTCTATAGCCTCGCTCCATATGTGACAAGCATACACAAGAAGATCCCCAGTAGATCGCCCTCATCGGAATCCGTACTGGCGATCACTGAGGAGGTCGTTGTCTTCAAGGTACGATAGGAGACGGTTATTGAGTACACGTTCCATAGTCTTGCAGAGTATGGAAGTGACTGAGAAAGGTCTATAGTTGACAGGGTCAGCTCTGCTTCCCTTTTTAGGTACAGGTTGCACGTTTGCAAGCTTCCACGACCTGGGAACTACACCAGTCTCAAGTGAGAGGCGTGTGAGAACAGGAGACAACTCAGGCGCACAATTACGCAAGACTATTGCTGGAATTCCATCTGGCCCGCTAGCTTTATTCACGTCTAGATTTCGCAGAGTTATAAGTACCTGTTTTTGGCGTATGCGAACTGGCGCCATAGTGCAGCCAGCCTGAGGTAAAGTAGGTGGTATGGTCCCTGCGGCATCTAGACGCGAACTTTCTGCAAAGAGTGAGGTAAAGAGATTCGCCTTCTCTTCCGCAATATGAGCCAGAGAGCCATTCGGCCTCAGCAGAGGTGGCAAAGATGGGCGACAAACGTTAGATTCGACCGCTTTGACCAGGGACCAAAAGGATTTGCTGCCCACTGGATAAAAGGCAAGTGTTGGGTTTCATATTTTCTTTTTTCTTGTATTAGACATTTATCAAAAATAGTATAGGGTAGATCTAAGATCTACCCTATACTATTTTAAGTGCTAAGGCACTTGCAAGGACTTCCTTCCTTTGTATCCTCCATCCTCCTCCGACATGCGCACTTTTGCTGCTGTCGTCTCTTTCACTGGCCAATGAGTTGGCAACAAAAATAAGACGATAGTCTAACCTATGACACTGAACTGTGTGCATCATAAAAATGGCTAATTAGCGCGATTGTGGTTTTTAATAGTTTATTTTGTTCGCAATACACTGTACTGTGCTCAATAGTGAACCTGAGGATTTTTCCTCCTGTGACGGCTGTATCCAGACGGAATTGCTGCCAGCGCAACGAAAGAAAAGGTGAGTGTGCATGTTCCCATCATTTTTCCTGTTCTTACTATATACTTGTTTCAGTCCTTATAGGAAACTACTTGCAAGTGCAGTTACTCGTACTACTAGTACCTTTTAACGTAATTAACAAAAATCGCAAAAAATACAGTCCACTACTTATCGGTATTATACATCTTCATTTCGCACCACCAGCAAGCTTGGCCCTATGCGGCGCACATGGTCGAACTTGGCCCTACTACAGCATCAGCACAGCTCGACGAGCCTCCTGAAGTAAAGCATGCCAGCCAGGGATATGACGCAAAGAAATGGCCCATTTCGTCTCAATCTGCTAACTTGTATCGCCACATCCGTTTCATACCACTAGGGCCCTCATCGAGTGAGGAGTATACGGATACAGTTTTCACCAGACAATGGTCGGAAGTACCCAGTGGGGCCTCCACAACCACAGAGTATCGGTCCGGATCAGTTGTCAGCAGAAGGTCCAAGCAACTAGCTGTATGAGATTCAACATCTGGTATCCTAGTGGCGCCACTGACAAGCTGGGATAGGCTTAGCATTAACGCAAGCTTACGCGTCTCTCTCCCAGCGTGATCGGTCTTCTGGTATGGGAACAACCATTCTTGATGGTGTGCATTAAAGTCCCCCAGAATAACTAGTTGCGCCGCTGGGTACCTATGCTGAATCTCAACAGACGTCTCACTCAGATATTGGAACAGCTTGGTCGTCTCCTGATCTCCACTGTGCCATCGGTAAACACAGCAGTACACTATTTGTGTAAGTCCTGTGTCTACCAGAAGCCACAAAATGGAAAAACTCGTTGCCTCAAGGTTCTTGAGACGCTTGACACAGATGTCATCGCGAACGTACACACAGACTCCGGCACGAGGTACGATCCTGTGCTCCAGAGTATACCCAGGGTACCTGAGGTACGCTGCGTCAGTCGGACATCTGATCTGCCTCTCTGTGAGGAACAGCAGCTGCGGTTTGTCGATTTCAAGGTGGTAGTGGACCGAATCGAGATTTGAGTACAGACCTCGGATGTTAGTGAAGTGCACTTTTAGTGGGAGGACGTGCAACCGCTGTGTATACTTTTTTCCAATTTTGTTTTTCATTTTGGTTTTGGAGAAGTGAATAGGCAGGAGGAAGGTAGTTGAACGAGGCACTGCGTCGTGTTCAACCAAGCAGCAGACTCATACACGAGGGTACAATCGGCTTGGGGACGCCCGAACCCTCCCGGACGAGGCCACCTGGTCCTCCCTTCCGGTCGCAAACCGGCAAAGTGGAGCATTCCGGGATTTTTCGTTGGGTGGCGGGGCAGCCTTTCACGGGTGGCTTTCCCGCTATTTGGGCTCCCAACTTCACACGGTCGGCCAGCGGTGCACCGTGCTTCGGATCTCGCTAACCTCCAGAACCGAGTACTCAGTGTGGCAGTACAAGCAGCTACAACTCGCCGTCAGACGCAATGCAACTGTTCAGACCCGACCTCCTAATGGCAATTCCCGAACACGAGTCGGAACACGGTAAAAACCATTTGGCGACTCGACTGCGTCTGGATGGTGGTGACTAGACACGGCCGAAGCGTACCACCAGTAGTTATTGCTCTTTAGCACTTTAGCACCCAGGGGTCACTTGTAGGGTCTCGAGGGTAAACCTACGAAAGCGAGCATCAATCCCCGCTGTAAGTAGGTGTAACTTGTTTTATAATTATTTATATTATAAATTGAAAAAAATAAATAAATGTGTTCAATCTTAAACACATTTTAGGCTAGATCAATCCACCACGTAAGCTTTGTCAGTAGATACAAATATAAATCAGCGAAAGGTTTCATCACATACAAATCAATAACGCAATTTCCCACAGACAAACTAATTTTTATTTCATTAAAAGAATAATAAGTATCACTCTGAATCACTCTCTCCTGCACTCTGCTCTGTATAGCCGACGAAATTTGTTGTACCAGGTGAGTGTGGATTGCAACTCCTATCTCTAAGCTGACGACTCAATTCCCTAATCTCAAGTTTTATAATTAACTTTACAGGACATATCAAACACAATTTCAGAAATTGTTGATTAAACCAATTTGTGTTCCAAGTAACTATTCTGGATGATCATAACTTCAAAGAGTAAATACAAACAAACGAGCGCAGAGTTCTTGAAATTTGGATGAAAATGTATCCTATTTTTTTCCAGAAACCTCAATTATACGATCTCAAGACACTTTAGCCAAAAACAGCGCGTCGTTCCAGGTTTTTTTCGTCCCGAGAAGATAAAAAGAGCACGTCGCTAGAGCCATTTACGTCACCCTCGAATTTTGTCGTAGATGGACGGCTTGCAATAAAACTGAATGTTATCTCGCTAATTTTTTCCCTCAAACCCGGCCGCTCTGTCGCCATAATCGAAATCTTTTGAGAACCGAAATGATTATGACTTTGAGTTGGCAAATTTGATGGCGAAAATCGAATTGGTAAGTTACTTTCTCGACAAGCCTGAGTCCTGATTAAGCGTCTGTCTCTGAAACAATTTGTTAATAACATGATTCTTATAGGAATGAAACAAAAAATCTAGGAAATTTAAACGTTTATTATTATTTTTAAAACATATGTTTAGTTATATAGTTTTATAGATAAAAACAAGTATTTCTACATTATATTTTAATTAAAACATTTGAGACTAGGTGTTCAAAAATATTGAGTCGTACATCGAAAAAACTCAATTTCCCTTTATTGAAGTCCCAAGTGGCGTACCCTGGAGTTAATCAAGAGGGAAGCGTGTTACCATCCATTTGTTCACCTATTTGACCCCTCATAAATACAAGGGGGTCCTTAACGCCGTTTTTTGTTTTAAAAATGGTCTTCATTCGAATATATGGATGTAAACAGGCGTCGGGGAATTGGGCAAGCAATTTGCCGTGTATTCTCTTGTATGATACAATTTTGTTGAGGGCAGTTTCAATTTAGGTTATGGCTGGATCATTTCGAAATGGCTGTCACCTTTTAAGTCATATTGCCACTGGTTTTTGTTAAAAACTTTCGACTGAGAGCAATTTTTATTTGGCGCAAACTTGGTCATTTATTCCCAGAAATAAAAGGCAGAAACAACACCTAAATTCAATACTTTGAGTACAAGAACATATAATTTGATTTAAATATTTTCATGATTGAAACTTATTATCTGTAGAGTAATTTAACACTATAGATCAAATTATAATTATACAATATGTGTAGTAATTTCACTAACTAACGAATAAATCATGAGAAGCTGCTTATTATAATACTATAACATGGAGAGTCTACTTCACTAAGTAATACTGGATCAAGAACAAACATTTATTTTTCAGTAGCGAGACATTGTAGCCTAGGTGCAAGCCAATTTCACGAACTGAGTGAATGTAAACTGAGAATGGTTGAAGATCAAAGTTAATCAATAAACTTCGAAAACTGGATGATGATGACGAGATACGTAGTGCAAAGGCTTGTGTAGCTTAGCGGAAGGGCCATATTGAATCGTATGACGCCCCACAAGGCATATGAGAAGTCGTTGTCTTGAGCCAGCAGAAAGAATGCTTTTATTTTGCGGCGCTCGATCTTATCTGTGGGCAAATTGAAAAATAGCTTACAAATTATGAAGTATTTCAGTTTTATTATTAAATGAAAAAATAAATAAATGAATAGTATGTATTCACAGTACCGCACTAAAATACCCTGTATCGCTGGTGCCACCCAAACTCATGAGAGAAATAAATGTAGGCCATACAAATAATTCTCTCGGCTCGGGAATCGAACCCGGGACCTGTGCGTGACAGCCCAGCATAGTAACTGTTAGGCCACAGAGACAGATATGATTGATTGATTGTAACACCCGGTTTACTTACTCCTTCAAAATGCCATAGACAATGTCGCCCTTGGGTCGTTTTCGGCAACTGTATGTATAGGTACATAACGGTACTGCCATAGATCAATCTTTTAACTATACTCATGAAAATACTATAATCGAAATTAAGATATTATAAGAGTTAGGGCAATCGGTTCGACAAACCAACTACAACAACCAGATTAAAAATAAAATCATTCAACATGAAATTACTATAAACATATAATATGTACATTTAACCCGTCTGTTTGTCATAAAGAAGAAAATACTTATTTAGTATAAAAACGTTGTGGTATTAGCGATCGTAGTCGTCTGTTAATTTCAATTGTAGAAAAACCATCCGTTTGTTTAGCGCTAAATGGGAATGAAACATTTATTTCTTGAAAAATTAGGAATCAGAAAAAATAATACTTACCCATTTTCGAAGTGTTAATAGCATTATGCAGTGTGGTGCGAATGATCGAGATTTGTTTGGCTGTAATGCTAGAATAGTAGCAAGGGGTAACTACCAGGATCGTGTACTTACAACAGCGGACCGCAGCGTAAATTATCATAACCTGTGCTATCTGAAAAATAATCCTTATTCAAGAGTTGATATTAAATTAAAAATTAAATGTTGAATCCTTATTAGAGAGCTGGGGGGCTATAAACTAATTAAGTATTTTAATTAAGAATAACAAATTATTCATAAAAAAATATTGTGTTTTATTAGCGATTACTGTCCGGGTTTCTTTATATCATTTCTAGGATTTGGAACTGATACGAATCGGATGTAGTCCGCAAACATTGTTACATATAAGTTCATTTTTAGAACAAAAATTATTCAACAGAATCCAACAATGACAGCGAGGTAATACAAACCGTGTGAAAATTAACTGATTGTCCAGCTTGGAAAATAAGCTTCAGGTATAACGTAGTTACCAAACCCGATGTAAAGAGGGTCAGAAACATCTGCAAAATTCAAGATCACGTTAATTGTGATCATGCTTCTTATAATAAATCAATCAGAGGAAATGATAGCTGCAACGTCAAAATCAGTTACCGGAAAACTCATCGCTGCATTCAACTCTTCTGTACACTTATGCAACTGTTCATAAGCTCTGTGCATCGCTGACGTATCAAGTTCAGTGTTATTTGCGAGATTCTCAAGTTTTCCAGTTTCTTGGTTTGATTCTTTATCTTCAATGAAAAATCTTTTCCTTACATGCCCTTTCAAAATTTGCAATCTCATTAAGACAAATCGCATTAACATGACATAGAGTATTTGCTCACTGTCATGTGCCAACGATGTTAAGTACCAAATAGGTGTGAACATGGACGATTTAAACGAAGGAAGAAAAATACTGAGCACGGTATATTCGCAGATAAAGTAAACTACACTTGATATAATCCAAGCTATGCAGCTGTAAATTGGGCTTGTAACGCTAACATTCTTATCAATGTTAAGCATAGCATCGAATTTGCCTATATCGTTATAAAAGTTCAGTAGTTTCTTCTTCATTAATAGTGTCGAAAAGAATACCAAGAGACAGTACTCAATGCAAGTCGTCGTTTTCGAGACGGCGTAACTTCCACTGAGGTCGTCATTGTAATTGGTTACAAGAGCATATATTGTCAGACCGAACAAAACGAAACTGTAAATGATGCCGAGCCATTTGACAAATCCACCGCAGTTTAGAAGATTCAATCGGTTTATACCAAGAACCATTTGTGTAAGTATGATGATTCTTGACTGCCGTATTGTACCATTGTCTTTTACAAAGAAATTATTTTTTTGCGGAGTCAGTGTTGTACCAATAGGTGATACTTTCGAAGTTCTTTTTAAGGTCATAGTGGATACCGCTCCACTTAAAGTAAAAGCTTCGACTGATGTTCAAACTGAAAGAAAGACTAATAAATGTAATAGCCGATAATGGAATATGATAAAAATGTTCAATATGGTACATTTATTGATGCTTCGTAATTATTACTGATAGCACTTAGGCTTGATTGGAGTTCGATCAAAGCAATTACGTATTATGTAGGTTATTTTCCAAAAAGAAGAATTGTTTTATTTGATTAATAATCAATTTGATTCAATGTTTTGCTGTATAAAAATACATTAAAAATACAATAGATGTCTGAGAAAACATTGACGTTCCCAAACCTACATTAAGAAGAGGATATTTGTTAATTTTTTTCCTTAAGGAACCCTGAAAGGAAGTCCATAAAGTCGACCTTGTAAAGTTAATCAATCAAATGTTCAGTAGTAAACATCCTTTGTCAGACCATGATGATATTGAAGAGTTTACATACATTTTGTCTGTAAATATTTGTAGTGGATACCAGCAACAATAATGATCCTATGCATTAGTTTCTCAGTAACGTACAACTTTGTAAACTCGCTTTGATTTATTGCCTTCAATATTTTTGTGTTATATCACATTGGACCCAATTTAGTATAATATAACATTACGTAATGATTGATGGATCGTATCGGGTAGCTTGTATACCTACCAAAGAGAATTTATAATGGTAAGTTGAATTAACCTTGGTGCCTATTGTGTGGTATAGAAGAGTTGGATAGAAATCGACGGCCATAGGGGATTTATAATACATAGGAGATTTATGATAGATAGTAACAGTATAGAGGTCCTTATAAAAGAGTTCGTCCAGGGAAGTACAGCCACCTGACCTATTTCTGCTGCCTTACCCATCCGGTTTGGAAGAGTAAGGGTGCTGGTGAAATTACAGGCACATGGGACGTGTCAACTTATGTTAAAATGGTGTTTAGTTTTTACTTGGGAAACTGATTGTTTCATAAATATTATGTAACAACAAATTATTTATTGCACAAGTATATGTTAAAATTGGTGGTAATTGCACTTTTAAATTTATCCGTAATTTCTTTTACTTCTTCTTTTTATGATACCAATCGATGAGACGAGCAAGTCGTGCGCCTGATGATAAGCGACACGCTTATCCATAACAGTTGCAGAGCTACTCAGAGCTTTAAATGGCAAAGATCTGAGGGGCACTGCCACTGCGCTCGTCACCGTGAGACATAAAGTCTCACGTGCCTGTAATTGTATAACTATTCTACAGTTAAAAGATAGAACTGAGAAAGTCTTCCACAAGTGTGTCAAACACACCAGACGTTAACTCGAGCAAGATAAAAATTATCTCCCCGCGGATAACATTTTCATATTGATATTTTATCTTGGCAGTCCTAGAACTGAGTTCAATTTTAAAACGTAGGAAAATTATGAAAATCTTAATCCATGTGAACCTTTAATCTATCACAAGTAAACGGAGAAAGAAACAAAGAATATTGTACAATGTTATGTTGTAAAAAAAAACAGTCCGTAACAAGTTCTTTTGAAAGAAAGGTAAGACAGAAATAGACTGTCGGTGTTTTATTAACGGCATTGTTTTTTTTTTTCATTTTTAACTTTGTAGGTGTTCATTATTCAGAACATCTTTACGCTGGCATAAAGGGTTCCTAAACGTCTAAAAAGTTCACAGAACAAAAACACAATTTTTGCATTAAACTTGAAAAACATCTATTTTTGCACTCATTGAAGACAAAAATACAATAAAAGTGATATTTTATGGCGGAAAGCTGTTTTGCAGATGAATAATATAAGGACCTTGAATACATTTCAATATGAATTTTCGAAGTATGAGAAGTTAAATGGGGATCGACGATGGGTGGAGTAACAGATTGTAAATTTAGTTGTTTTGCCCATGCTATCGCAACCACCATTGCGTAAGACTAAGTTTTTCTAGCTAAACAACTGGTTCATATAACTAGATTATTACGCAGCAACCAACTATATAAGACCCTTAAGTAAATGCCTCTATTAAGTTTTGTACATAGAATTCAGAAATAGTACCATACATAATAGTTAGAGGTATTTATTTCTCTTGCAAAAATAATAATAATAATAATAATAATAAAATACTTGTAATAATGCTTTTATTTGTATGCTTTATTTTTTATTATCTATTTATGAACTTTTTAGAAATATGGAATATTTGCTCACAAAAACAAGACGTGTTTGTGCGTTGTTTGCATAGAACAATAACTACAGTAGAAGCTTAGTATTTAGTGGGCGTGGTACATGAGCCAACAGTATGTGTTACATACTTATGAGCACCGTCTGCCATTTTCGCTTTGTACGTTATGGTTTTGTGAATTATCTCGCTCAAAACTTCTTTTTGCTACTTAGTGCAATAATGACAGTCGCATGTGTAGCATTATCGATGGTGGTGATTCACATTATCGTTAAGTCTCAATTTATCGAATTTTAATAAATTTTTAATTTTCTATATATAGTTATAATTTTTTGTTACAAGAAACGAAAATAAACCTTATACGACTGCATAATAAGGTCGTTTCTTTATTGGAGAACTAAGTAAACATCTCTAATTTTCGAAGCTACTCGTAGTCATAATCGTTCGACGTCGTTCAGCTACTGACGGCTAGATGAAGGCACATTAATCGAAAATTCAATATAATATCAAAACGTACTAACTTGTAATAATAGGTATTGAACTTTTAACGACGTGCTAACAGGATAAAGTTTAAATTATAGGTATTAACAGACTAGAATTTGTTACTTCTTTTTAAATAAGAAACTAAGACCAATTATTATTAAGATTTCATAGTGTTTAAAACGATGAATTTGTGAGTTTTGGAGCCAGTGTTTTGGTAATAATCGAGGCATAAAGCACTTCCATTGTTTTTGTTCATCCGTGGTTGTTTGTAACAATGAGAATACTCGTTAAATTTTTTATTGTCAATCAAGGATAAAACAGGAAATCGAAAAACGAAAATTTATTTTCCACATCGATGTTTCCTCGCGCACACCGACAATAGATTTATTTGACAAAATACGTAAACATATTACAAGGAAAATATTATCTATAACGAGAACTCATTACTGGTCGTTAGCTGTTTCTGCGGAGACTAGAAAATTCGGATAATTTTTCTTCTTTCTTGTTTTCCGTAACTAATTATTTTATGCTAATTTTGTCGTTTACGTTGTTCGGATAATTGTCTCTTGTCTAAGCCCACCTGTCTAAAATGTGGGTGGTCAAATTGAGCTCCGGGAAATGAGGCCTTCTTTTTTCCTTTACGCACGGCAAAATTGCGGTGTTCCCTAGTGATTTTGTCGAAGATAAGGTCTGTCCACTGCCTTTATAATTTTCGTCTGTGGTTTCTAACGTAATTGAAATATTATCCCGGAGGTTTTCCTTATTTAACTTTTTACCAGTGGCTCCTGTCAAGTAATCCGTTCTCATCCGCGTATATCCTGAATTTCCATTTTAAAACGGAACATGGAGCGGAGATTTAAGTAGAGATTCGGTGTAATTCCCTTCAAAAGGTGGCTTAGTTACCACCCACTGGTAAACACATCGCGCCTGATTTATATTGTAGTTGGGTCGCATTTACGTAAACAATTGTGCTTCATGTTATAAAGTTAACTTTTCTAATAAAATTTGAAAATGAAAATCTAAAATCTTAACCAACATTTTTTGTATCTTAACACGGTAGGTTTTATTTTTTCGAATGTTATTTTAATAAATAAAAAAACTTATTTTCAAATGTTTAAGAGATTAATGACTTATACGTTACTTTTTACTTTTTTATTTGACTAGTTTATTAGATTCATGCATACTATATAACTGCTTCCATTGCCGAACGGTTACCATGCCACGCCGAGGTCCCAGGTTCGATTCCCGGGCCGGGAGAAATGTTTGTATGGCCTACATTTATTTCTCTTGTGAGTTTGGGTGTAATTTGTGATTGTCTATGTGGTCCATGGCACCCGCACAGACACAGAGTTTCCCTGGTGCGGGACTATGTTGAATGTGTGCGTAATAAAAAAAAATATAGACATTAGTTTAACAACTGGTTCATTGAAAATGAGGAGATGAACGCCTGTCCACGATCTTTATAAAACACCTCCAATTAAGATGGCTCCGCTATCTCCACGCCCGGGGTTATATATAATATGTATGTATAATATAATATAATATGTTTCCAGTTTCTCACTTTCAACCATAATCTTTTATTTTGTTTTAAATTAAGAACTCAAGAAAATTTTCAACAATTAATGAGCAGTGGGCGTCGTATAGCTGATGAATGAACATC